TATCAATGTTTATATATGTTTATTTTTATATTTGACATTTTATATGGTATTTATGCAGAAGAGGAAATTAGGATGTGATTCACCCCATAGTGAATTGTTCCTGTATACACACACGAAGAATCACGATGGAGTCACTTTCACAAATGAAAAAGATAGACATTTCATGTAATATTCATTTCAGTGTTAAACTTTTATATTGTACCTAGTCTATAATATCATTCATAAATTTTATATCTTTTAACTTATATTATTTTTATGTTGTAGGCGGCCTATACAGAAAAACGAGAAGAGTTGCAAGTTGAAGGTGTTGAATTTGAGGAGGACAAGTTAATTTATGATGTTGTTGGTGGTCATGACAAAAAAGAGAGATTATGGATTAGTCTCTTTTGCAATGGCAGATCCCAATAGGAACGATAAAACAGATATATCTTACATTCCGGAAAAAAAAATGATGAAATAGAAGAAATGAGAAAGTTTGTTGCTAAACAGAAACAACAAAACGAAGAGCTTAAAAAAATTATGAACGCCCAACAAGAAGAAAACAAAGCAAGGGTCGGTCATCTTGAAAAATAACTTCAAACGACATTGGATCTTATTAATGTCGTTACAAAACAACAACACTAGTAGGTCATAAAGTATTGATATATGTTTATTGTAGAGTATTTATTTTAGATTAGAAACTTTCCTTTTGCCACGTAATAAATAATTATTGTATTATTTTATGATATAATATTTTGATTTTTTGGTTATTTTTGTTTTTTCATATATTACTACAAAATAATTTAGATATAATTTATAAATCAATTATCCATCGGTCCATATGGAATCCGGTATATAATATACACCACTAAAAATGCTAGGGATTCATGACCACGGAATTTGCTAGGAAGTCACCAAACAGAATTTTCTTGGGATTCATGACCACAGAATTTACTAGGAAATCATCAAACGGAATTTGCTATGGATTCAGAATGACGGAATATGCTACGGAATCACCACCATGGAATTTATTAGGGAACGACCACCACAGAATTTACTAGGGAATGACCACCACATAATTTACTAGGGAATCACCACCATGAAATTTGATAGGGATTCATCACCATGGAATTTGCTAGGGAATCACCACCATAGAATTTACTAGAGAATCACCACCACGGAATTTGTGATGGAATAGCTACCACGGATTGTGTGATGGAATCCTACTACGGAATACACGACGGAATACCACCTGCCACGGATTTCATTATGTTGTCACATTTGTGATGAAATTATCGTTTCCGTTGCAAACCCTCGCTATGAGGTTTTTAGGGACGGAAACCTGTCATTGCAAATTTCGTCGTTATTCATCTTTTTCAACGGAATTTCAGCTTTTCGCAACGGATTCCTTCCGTAGAAAATCGTGTTTTTCTTGCAGTGTTTTCATAAATCTAAACATACTAGGGATGTTTTTCATAATCTTTTCTTCATGTTACTAAGGTTTTTGGTGAGCTCATTCATTTAGATGTGTGGGGACCATATCGTATTGAGTGCGTAGGTGGTTTTAGATTCTTTTTGACTATTATGGATGACTTTAGTAGGTCTACATGGGTTTTTCTTCTAAAATCTAAAGAAGATGTTTTTCAAAGTTATGCTACTTTTTTTAAATGATTAAAAATTCGTTTCAAGCTCTTATTAAAATCACAAGGACTGAAAATGGAATTAAATTTATAAATTTTTGTTTTAAAACTTTTAATGAAAGTAATGGGATTGTTAATCATGATTCTTGTGTTTACACTACACCACAAAATGGAGTTATGGAGAGGAAACATAGGCACATTCTTAATGTTGTGAGATCTCTGACGTTTTAATCGGGAGTTCCATTAAAGGTATTGGGGTGATGTTATTCTTACATCAGTTTTTTTTTATTAATATAACTCCTTCTTCTATTTTAAATAGACTTTTATCCCTATGAATTAGTCTTTAAAAAAATCTCCTTCTTTTGACAATCTTCGTGTTTTTGGTTGTTTGTGTTTTTCTACAAATCTAAATAATCAGGATAAATTTTATGTTCATGTTTAAAAATGAGTTTTTTTGGGTATTTCTTTAGAAAAGAAAGCGTATAAGGTTTTAAAACTTGATTTCAATTCCTTGTATGTTTCCAGGGATGTTAAATTCTATGAGTTAGTGTTTCCATTCAGAATGCTAAAAAAAAAAAAATTTTGGTAAGTCTAGTGATAGTTCTAGTGGGGTTGATCCATTTTGCTATGATGAACTTGTTCAATTTGAGTCCTTTGTTGATGATGGTTTGTATAATAGAACTCAGAGATTGGATAATCAGTTTGATGGTGCTAGTTCTCCTTTGGACCTTAATAGAATAGATCCTACAAAAGAAAGTTCAGATACTAGGTTAGGGTTTGAGGATTCCTTTATGCCTTTATATGTTGGGTTTGGTCCTAGTTCTACTGTTTCTCCTGACTCTCTTGGTTCACCTGTCAGGACTGAGGAAAGTATTCATTCTGTTTATGAACCCCCTCAATTCACAATCAATTGGTCTCACACATACGATGAGAGAGACTCGTCATCCATCTCGATTTAGTGACTATATTTTTTAGGGAAAATACAAGTATAGTATTGATAAAACTCTTAATTACTCTAATCTGACTTCTGAACATAAGTGTTTCATTTCTAATCTTGATAAAACCATTGAACCTCAGTCTTATTATGAGTCGTCTCTAAATCTTGAATGGGTTAAGGCCATGAATTAAAAAGTTTGTGTAGGAATAATACATAGGTAATTACTGAATTGCTTTAAAATAGAAAACATAATGGTTGTCGTTGGATTTACAAAATTAAATATAAGATCAATGGAGAAATAGAAAGGTATAAAGCTCGTCTTGTAGCTAATGGTTACAATCAAAGAGTTAGTATTGACTATGAGGAGAGTTTTGCTCACATAGCCAAAATTGTTACTATTCGATTTGTAATTACGTTGGTTGTTAACTATGGTTGGAATTTATATCAATTTGATATAAATAATGCTTTCTTGTATGGTTCTCTTGAAGTTGATGTTTATATTGTTTTACCTCCTGGATATCACAGTAAAAATGACAATATGGTATGCATGTTGTTAAATCTTCATGTGGTTTAAAACAGGCTCTACATAAGTAGAATGAAATATTGACTAGTTCTTTAGTTAGTTTTGGTTTTAAATAGTGTTTTAATGATTATTCTATGTTTGTTAAAGGTTTTGGAAAGGTTGTAACAATTTTTCCGGTATATATAGATGATATCATTATTACTGGAAATTGTGAGTCTAAATTTATTAAAGTGAAAGATTTTCTAAAGTCTCGGTTTCTTATAAAAGATTTAGGAAAATTAAAGTATTTTTTGGGTGTCGAAGTTGTTAAAGTTCCAAATGGTGTTTTTGATTGTCACAGAGGAAATATTGTTTGTAATTACTTCAAGACTTTGGTATGTTAGGTTGTAAACCAGTTAAGAGTCCTCTTGAGTCAAATCTTAATTTTGATAATAGTAATGGTGGTTTACTGGAAAACATAACTGATTTTCAGATACTTTTTGGAAAACTCGTTTACCTTATAATTACAAGGCCTGATGTTGCTTATTATGTTCAAGTATTAAGTCAATACATGCATAAACCAACTAAGACCCATTTGTAAGTTGCAATGTGATTATTGAGGTATCTAAAACTCAGTCTAGGAAAAGGAGTTAATTCCTTGAAGTCTAAATCAGGATCTCTTTTATTAAAAGGTTTCTGATGCTAATTGGGTTAAAAGAATTTTTCTTTAGAAAGTCTATAAGTGGTTATGTAGTTTGTCTAGGTAATTATCTTATTTCTTGGAAGAGCAAAAAAAACAGTTTACTATATCTCATTCTTCGACTGAGTCTGAGTATAAGGTTTTGGGTTCTTTGTCTTGTGAATTAATCTGGGTTTTCAAATTTTATATGACACTTGTTATAAAAGTTTAGTTCCTATAAATATTTTTTATAACAATAATTATACCATTAAGTTGGTAATGAATCCTGTTTTTCATGATAAAACGAAACATTTCAAAATTGATGTTCATTTTATAAGAGAAAAAATTCCAAAATGAATTGTATTGTTAAATTGGTTAAGGTTAGTTCTTCGAGTCAAGTTGCAGATATTTTTACTAAATCCCTTGTGTCTTCTCAATATAAGGTTCTTAGTGAATAACTGTGCTTTTTTTATCCTTTTTCTTCAAAATAATGGTTTTCAAAAAGGTTAGTTTGAGGTGAGATGTTGAAATAAATAATTGTTTGATAAAAATTATAATATCAAACTAACATTTTGCTTATTCAGCTTTGGTTACATTTTTATGTTTTAAAAAGTTACAAGTTAAGTTATTAATTAAAGGTGAATGGTGCAAAGTGTAACTAAAGCATATATTTTACAGGTTTATACACGGATCTTCGGATCCTGTATAACCTGGGTACTTAAGGTCAATTTGAGTGAAGGAGAGCCATATTCATTGGTTTATTCAGAATTCATTTACTCTCTTGTTTTTTGGTTGTTTTATCTTCTTTGATTAGGGTTTGTTCTTAGGGTTTGTATAATTCATTCTCTAATCTTGTAGATATGTTAGTTTTAGATTGTAGATCTTTTGTAGCTAGTGAGGTTTCCCTTAAAGTTGATGTAAACTATTTGTCTATTGATCCTCAAATGATATAATAGATGATGATGTTGGATATATGTCACTTTACAAATTTTCACACATACCCTAAAAAAAATAATACATAAAATGAAATAAGTTTTTAGTATAATCTGATTCACACATGCAATATACATCTCTTAATCGTCAATCACTTTGTACTAAGATGTTTTGAATTAATTGATTGGTTGTTGATTAATAACGGTTACATAGAATATTCACAATCTTTATATCCAATTATGCATGTGGATAAATCTATGATTTTGGTAACCAATAATAAGCGCCATTTCAAAATCCTTTTTGCTTTTCCCCTTTTTCATTGTCTTCCACCAAAAACTCCACTACAAGTTGTCTAACTTTTGCTTTTTCTTTGTGGCTGGCATCATGCCACCAACCCAAGAATGTACATCGTTTACAAAAGCATACCTGGTATTCATTAAGGAACATAAGGGGCTATGAATAGTTTGATGACTGCGTAAATGATTTAATGAAAACAGTCGTAAGTCCGACATTAATTTTTACAAAGTGTTGGGAGGTTGCTGTTTTCTGGTTTCTGGTTTCGGTGGTTTTCATTAACGTGCAGTCATAATTATGGGTTGTTTAGTCAGTCAACAGTTTCCACAGCATATATTGGCATGATCATGATCAACAGAAACTTCACAACCATTATTGACATAATTTTTCTTAGCAACATTTCTTTTTCTTTTCAGTACTCTTGAGCTCTAGATTTTTTTCCACACTAATGTCGCTCATTAGAGATTCGCAACACCTTCGTGTACCCTTTAGAGATATCGAAATAGCCACTAGAAACTTCACAACCATTATCGGAAAGGGTGGATATGGCCATGTCTATAAAGGAGAACTCTTACTTTCGGGTAAACTTACCTCTGTCGCTGTGAAGCGACTACCAAAAAACAACCATTCTGGTCAAGGTCTTAAGGAGTTCTTAACAGAGATTCAATTACTCTCCCGTTATGAACATCCAAACCTTGTCTCCCTTCTTGGTTACTGTGAGGAACACGATGAAAAGATCCTTATTTATGAGTATGCAGAGCATGGAAGCCTGGACTGTTACATAAGTATGGCTAATACGAGGTTTCGACTCCCATGGAAGCAAAGAATTAAAATATGCATTGACGCAGCACGGGGTTTGGATTATCTTCATAACCATGTTGCAGAAAATCATAGAGTTATCCACAGGGATATAAAGAGTGCGAATATTCTTTTAGATCACAACTGGAAAGCTATGATTTCAGATCTGGGTCTTTCCAAGATAGGTCGTGCAAATGAAAATGAGAGTTATCTCATTACAAATGTTGGTGGCACACATGGGTATTGTGATCCTGTGTATATGAATACAGGTATTCTGACAAAAGAATCGGATGTTTATTCATTTGGGGTGGTATTGTTTGAAGTCTTATGTGGGAGGCCATTCTTTATGAAAGTAAATGATGAAAGCCAATTCCTAACACAACTAGCTCAGACCTGCTACGAAAAAGGGAATTTAAATGATATAATTGATACTGATTTGAAGAAACAGATGAACTCAGATTCCTTGAAAAAGTTCTCAAAGATTGCATATAAGTGCTTGAAGAATGATCGGAAACAGCGACCCTCAATGGGTTTGGTGGTAGAGAAACTTGAGAAAGCTTTGGAATTGCAAGTAAGTTCAATTTTTTTTTTGTGAAAGTTTTACTATACATAGTAAGTAAACAACTATAGACTGAACTCATATATGTATATATAGACTATAGTGTTTCTGCTTACACTTTTCTACAACTTTTCTTGGATAGGAACGTGCGGAAACATGGGTACCAAATGTACGTTCAATGTTTTTGAAGTTCATGCAATTCCTTGATGTCCATAAGTGCAAATTACAAATGCACTTCTCTTGGATAGTTAGGAACTTGCATACACTTGTGGAAATGTCGGCAAGAAATGTACGTTTAATATTTTTGAAATTCAAGCAATTCCTTCATGTCCATAAGTGCAAAAGTAGAACTAAACTTTTCTCATTGCAATTATTCAGTAAAATTGAAATGAATTATTTATTAATTTTTTAAAATATAAATGGTTAATTTGATATATAATGATTTTTGGACAAGTCCATATTTTCTACCATTAATTTCATGACGACAGCATGTCAGATTAATTTCAAAATCCATTCCATGCATGATTCCTAAATATTTTTGTAATCATAATTCACTCAAATCTAAAACTTCTTTTTGCTATAAAATAAATGAATTGTTAACGGCCGGACGGAGTGGAGCGGGAAAGGGGAGCGGAGACCTTCACTCACTTTGGAACACCACACCGTGGCTGAGAGGAGCTTCCAGCGCGAAAGGGGTGGGGGTGCCGCACTCCGTCTCCTCATTCTATTAGACAATTTATTTTTTTTCTTTTTAAACATTTTTAATATTTATAAAATTATATACCTACTAAAAATATAAAATATATATCAAAATTCATTCTTTTTAATTTTCTACAAAATAAGTATAATATATGTATGAAATATATATATATATATATATATATATATATATATATATATATATATATATATATATATATATATATATATATATATATATAATGAGGGGAGCTTCCCACTTATTTCTTGGGTTTTAAGTGAGAGAAAAAAAAGTGAGGGAAATAATGGTGTGACCCAGAAAAAGTGAGAGAAATATCATTCACACCGTGCCGTCTAATAATTACATTTTATAATAATAATAAGCATAAAAAACAATAAAAAAAGTAATTATTATGATCATTCATCGGAAAAGCCATTGTCTTAATTTTCTAGCGAAAAAAACCTTACATTGTTTTTTCTTGTTTTTATTGTCTTTTTTGTAGGCTAACAAGAGGTGGATTGTGATCTTGATACTTTTGCTGATAATGATAAAAAAACAAGTAATACTAAAAATACTATTGATTCTGTTTTTCTTACTTTTATTATTACTAGTATTATTATTATTATTGTTTTTATTTATTAGAACTCTATGCAATAGGGGTTGTGTTCAGATTTCAGATATTCGGATTTCATATTAGGTTGGGTATTTATAGATATATCTGATTTTGTAACAAACCTTAAAAAATATATAATTGTCGGATGCTACTTGTATGTAAAGTGTGTCAATGGACATTCCTTCTTTTGTAATTTTTGTTAGAGAGTATGTAAAAGATATTAAAAGTACTTACACCCTTCAAATTTCACGATGGACACCCTTAGAAATTAAATTTTTAAATAAAAAGTTAACAACAATATACAATTCATATTTGTAACAAATTAAAACATGGAAAGTGAGAAAAAATAAGAAAAAAAAAACCCTAATAATTTTCACAAAAAGTGTTGATAATCAAGATATATGGATTTTCGTATAAACCATCGTTGTTTGCATCCATGCCTATCTGAATCTCCGACCGCCATCAACCCACCGATGCTTGCCTTTTCACCGAGATCTATCAAAGTTTTTTGTCCATCTTGCTTTTTTCTGTATCCATCATTTGTTGTCTGCCAACTTCTGGACAATAATTTTATTCTTGAAAATCAGGTAAGTCGTCTTCCTCTTCAAATTATAATGGTTGATTTTAAGTTTTAAGTGAGACAAAGAAAAGGTCTTCTTAGGCATCTAAATTATAAAATAGAATGAAAATATAAAAGAGAACATATAAATTATAAAATCACGTATTTATTTAAATCAACGATTATAATTTTATATAATTAAAAAAATTATTTTAATTAATAATTTATTTAAAATTTGAGTTTTTACTATGAAAACTTAATTAATTTTATAATTATGATTTCAACCGGTTATAAACTAGTTTATAATAAAAATATATTCCTCGAAAGCTACTAGATTATATCCAAGATTGAGATGGTTATGATTTTTTATTTAAAGAAAAAAAAACAAAAAAAAAAAAAGTGAGTAGAAGTTTTTTGGGGTGTCTGGATATATTGAATTTTTTTAACATATCCAATAGCCGACCTATTTAAATATCCGGTTACCCGATTATCCGAATTTTCAAACCCGATACCGATTTACCCAATTAGAATAAAGCTAATTCAAAACGGATCAGATCAGTAATTACTTATCATTTATTTTCAACATAACTATTATGCATTTCGTTTTCACTCACATTTTCTTCTCTGGCAACTAAACCCAACTTTTGGCCATGAGAGGTAATCTTGGCCGGTATAGCCGTCTTCCATCTACCGCCCTTCTATGGTAATCCTTTTCAAATAAGTGCAAATCCATTATCCATATGTTCTAGAAGAATAGAGATGCGTGGATTTCATTGTATATGGTATATGATCCCTTTTTATTTCCACACCCACCCATCTCGGGTAAGTCGTAGACTCAAGTAAATTTTTATGGTTGTAATGTTTGGGTAAAATGTTGAGGATTTAATTGAAGGAGTTATAAAGTTTCATGGTTGTAATCTTTAGATAAAATAATGTTAGGGATTAAAATGTCGGGGTTTCTAAATAGACATGATAATTCTTGACACGACCTGAAATACGATACGAAATAAACGGATTTAAGTTGAGTTTTTCAAACCATCAACCCGTTTATTAAAAAGGTCATATATGAGTTGCTTAAAAAATATACGGGTTGACTTGTCAACCCGTTTAGAACTTTAATAAGGAAAATTACATATTTATAAATGTATTAACTATTATACAGTATACAGTTTATACTTTATACTAAGATAAGATACTCAATATCATTAACCATTTGACCCCGTGGGTAATAATATGCTAATTTGCATTGCATCGCCTTTAGCGTTTGCCCTAAATAATCTCAATATCTCACAAAAACGGCAACATGAACGATTGAATTATTATCGAATGATGTCGACACCTACGATTCAATTTATCTATGTTTGTATTAATATTTTAGTTTGAACATGTTTCCGTGAATATTTTTAATTTTTATTTGGATGTTCAAAACTTAAGTTTTTAAAACTTGGATATGTTTGCATCAAAAATTTATTCATTTTTAATTATAAATTTTATTTATGGAATCTGCCGCACGAACACACGAACCCAAATCTTACTCACCAATCCGCCAACATGTGAACCCATATAAATAAGTCGGTTGACGGGTCATATATGGGTTTATGTTCCAAACCCGTCAACCCTTAACCTGTCAACCCGTAAACTGTATAATTAAATGGGTCATGTTTGGGTTGATATATTTTGACCCGCCAACCCGCGACCTATCAACCCAAACACGATACGATTGTCAGGCCTAATTTGTAAAGTTCGGTGTTTGTAAAACTAGTGATATTTGGGTAACTGATTCCTAAGTAACTTCGATAGTAACTGGATCTCTCCTCAGGTAATTAGTACTATCAATTTAACACAATAGGTCGTATTTCCTTTTAGATTTTTGATTTATCCACATAAAAACGAAGTGGTCCAACATTTAGACCTTATTTTAATTGAAGAGACAATCATAATAAATGATATAGAAATCAAATCACTTTATTCAATAAGTGAACAAAAACTTAAATGAAAATATCACAACCCATTTAACATGTGTTTTAGGGCAGGTCCAAATATATATTTGGTCCAGAACAAAAAGATAAAAGGCCCAAAGTCAAAAAAATAATAAATATTAAAAAATAGACTACATTTAAAATGGTTAATAATACCATCAAAAACAAAAATATAATCCCAACAAATATAAACGCAACTAATTTAAATAAATATATTTATGACGTTTTTAGATGCAAGTATCTAGATCGAATTTAAAGGAAAACATAAATATAGTCACAACATATATAAAAGCAACTAGTTTAACAAGACATTAGTTAGAATAACCTTAATAATTTTTAATAACTTCAATTTTGAAAAAATTCTTTAAATGTAATAGTAACAAATGATATATATGCAATCAAAATATTAAGGTAACAATTAACAGTTTAAAAACTCCAAAATTTCAACTGCCAACATTATGTTAAAATTTTGTTTTTTTTTTTTCTCTTTTGGGATAGAGTCATGAAATCTGATATACAATTACCAAAATTAATTCTAATCAGAATGGAGTCTTTTATATATATATATATATATATATATATATATATATATATATATATATATATATATATATATATATATATATATAAAGAAAATCAAGAAGTCGATACTAAGAAATGCAAATATTGAGAAAAATTAAATACACAACAAAATCAAAATTGGGGGTCGAGAAAGGAGAGTGAGAAATCAGAAACAAAGAACTCAAGAGTGAGTAATACACTTGTTTTATTTTTGGAACCAACAAATTTTATTAAGAAGGCACAAGAAAGCCCAACCTCATATTACAAGGCAGGGGAAAGAAATAAGACCTCACCACAACATAGAAAAATCAACTTCACCAATACTACTTTACATAAGTGGATTAATACAACAATCTAACCAATTATATACTTCCTTATTGTTTCTATGTTTGAACCACAAGAACACCGATACTTAGATAATGTCCACAACCTTTGTTGATGTAATCCTTTAATGATTAAAGGTTTTCTTGTTTATCGCTTTCCACAGACACCAAATTGCTCAATAGTAGATGCCTACCAAGACCTTTTTTATTTTTGGATAATTGCCCCTAAACGTCGTAAATTCTAGAACTTCAGTTGCCATATCAAATAAGGGTGTCGGAATATCACACCATCTGAAGATTCACTCCCATGTATTTTTGGCAAAGGGGCACTCACACAATAGGTAGTTAGCAAACTCATATGCTAAATTACATTCACCACACATAACAGATGAAATATTAATTCCCCGATTCTTGAATGCCACTGTAGAGGGGATACGATTTTGAACCACACCCCAAACAAAACACGAAAACTATTTTGGGAACTTCATTAAGCTACATAAAGGAGTTTCCATTTGAACTGTTGTTAGACTTTATCAGCCTCTTTCTACTTGCTGCAACAGAGAATTACCCATTTGAATCTAGTTCACATGACCATGAATCATTAATTCAGTTTAGACAAGTTGTTCCAAGGGTTTGCATCAGTTGGTTCACATGCCGTGAATCAGGTTGCCTAGACCAAGACTAAGAAAATCCACTATTATATACTCGATCCGAGATCTTGCATTTCTTATGTGACTCCAAACAGTATAGATTAGGAAAAAAAGTTGTAAATGTCTGTTTCCAATCCATTCATCTTTCTAAACGTGTCATCTCCAGAATTAGCTATTCTTTTAATAATAGTTCTCAGTGGAATGCCCCTCTTAGCCAACACAACCTTCTTTCTAGAAAAATTATTCTACACCCCCATTGTAGAGTTATTAGATAGCTCATATGCCAATCTCGATCTCAAGTTATGAATACTTGAGACAACTTTGTTCCATAGTGACTCTTTTTCCGTCTTTAGTCTCAAACGCCACTTGCAAATTAGAGTTATCTTGAGATCTTCTATCGCGCCTACACCGAGACCTCAATCCTCTTTAGCTTTAATGATCTTACTTCATTCTATCAACTTGGTTTTCTTGTTATCCTCTGAGCCTCCCAATGGAAATCTATACCTGAGCTTCTCCAATTGTGAGATCACACCTGCTCGGGCAACAAAAAGAGAAAGATAGTAAGTAAGGAGATTTCTTAACACCAAGTGACTTAGTGTTAGACGCCCTCTAAAAGAAAGATTTTTGGCTTTATAGTTTTGAGAGACTTGCTTCAAATCTATCAATGATAGGTTTCTAGTTTGCGTTAATATTCATATTCGTTCCAACCTGAACACACAAGTAACTGAAAGGTAAAGAGGAAGGCTCACAACCCAATAGATGTGCCTACTAGAAGTTTCCAGCAATTAAGATGTTGGATTAGGTGTGTAAGCCCATAACTATAATTGGTATGTACTTGAATTGATTGTAGCACAGACCTTTTGGGTTGCCTTCTTACTAGCAACTTGAAAGGATGACTTTTGGAGAGAGAGAGAGAGAGAGAGAGAAAGACAGAGGTTGAGTTTATTATCTGGAATAATAAATTAGTATACAAAATGATTTATTAATATGTTATGAAAATAATATATTAATTAGAAATCATGTTATTTATTTAATATTTGACCAAAAATTAATTTGAATTAATTTTGGGATTAAAGGAATTAATTAAAAGTACAGGAGTTGTTTTGCAATTAATTAATAGTTGTGGTTTGGACTCTTGGACCACCCTAAAGAGGGTTGTACAAAA